CAAGTCGAGGGATCGACGTGTTGGGATGATGCGCTATTACACATCGAGACAATCGCAGCAGCTCCCACACTGCTGCGATGTTTTGGCACCACGCTCAGGTGCACGTTTGGAGCCCGATGAACGGTCCGCGCGTGGTAAATATTGTGCTCGGTTAATGGTCACGCGAATGGCTCTGGCCGTCCGTGACCTGTGAGAACGAGCGCCGTGTGCTGTGTCTATCGCTTCATCTCAAAGCCGCTGTGACCGAGTGGCTCGTGTAGCTCAACTCGTGACACCTGAGCCAGCATACCCCGATATAACCAGGGTTCGATTCCTGGTCAGTGGGCTCGCACTAAAACTATGAGAGAGGTTTTTAAAAAATTCTCCTTAAATATACTGATAAATGTATTCAGGTCTGAGCTATTTTGTGAGTCGCGTGATTAATATATTTCCATTTGGAAGCCTCGAAGCCAGCAGTGTACCACATTGCGATACAGAATGGCTTCAGGAGGTGACCTCGTAATGGAACTACCGCATGGAATCCTTTCAATCAGCCTCTTATCCACAACGCTTGCTGGTCACATAATGAGACAACACGAGTTTCCACGTTTAACTCTCGCGGCGACATTAGAACAAGTGTCCAAAAAAGCTCTGGTAAAGAGTGTGTGTTGTATTTTTGGTTTCAATTGCTCAACTCCCGGTCAACAACAATGACTGCGCCAACCACCCCCCCCCCCCCCCCCCCCCCCCCCCACGAAGGTCTTGGAAATCGTTTGAGTCGCTCGAGACGCGCTCGTGGTCAGCGGCTGAACTGGTCCGGTCAGTTGATTGGCTTACTGGCGATAACTGGCGCGAGCTGTAAAGGCACACAACCCCGCCACGTGTCACTGGCCCACGCATAGCCGTGTTCATTTTTAGAGAGTAACGCAATGTGTTCGAAGGTAACAACATAGAGGAGCAGACAACGCTTCTGCTCCACACTATTTGTCTACCCACACGTACTAAAAAAAGAACCCGAGAAATTTTTTTTTGTACACAACCCATCGGGCCAAGCGGGCCTCTGAGGACATAACCTGAAGCAGCGTTGACTGGTTACAAGCACACTTTGGAGCGGTTTTAACATTCAGTGTCACACTGCTCTTTTGGTTATTTCGGTAAAGTCACGTCGGTATAAAATAAAATAAATCACGACGTTTCGGGCGCAACACAAGCGTCCGTCATCACGACGTTTCGGACGCTTGTGTTGCGCCCGAAACATCGTGATTTATTTTATTTTATACCTACGTGACTTTACCGAAAGAACCAAAGAGTATGGATTCCTGCAGTCACGAAAGCTTCAAATCAAGATTCAGTGTCTCATTAGCAGCTATAGGCTTCTTTGAATAGATGCTGGCCAACTGTGCTATGAATCCGGCAGCCCGAATTCGATTCCCTGCTCACGGACAACACACCAATGACGATTATCGGAACCGGTCGTGGACCTCCCCAACTCAGCCTGAAATTAGTTTATGGTGCAGTGTGTAAAAATCGCTACTAGGGAGACAAAGGCGGTCAGGCGTGGTGCTGGCCACCCACCCCCTTGTGTGCCATCCCGACCTTAATAGGTGCTCGCTAACAGCACTTGCTCCTACAGTCTGTTAAGGCTACACGGGAGATCTTTGTATTTGTACTCACCCCGTCGTGTTCCGTGTTTGCTAACAGCACTTGTCCCAACAGTATGTTGAGGCTATATGGGGGGATCTTTGTCTTTGTGTGTAGGGGATCGATGGCGCAGTGGTACGAACCCGGCGACTGGAGTTCGATTCCCGCTCACGGCCAACACCGGTGACGAATATCTGAACCGGTTCTGTGCCTTCCCTATGTCGTCACAGCCTCAAATCAGTGCATGGTGTGGTATTTAAACGTCGCAGCTATGGAGACAAATGTGGCCGGTTGGTTGTGGTGCTGACCATCCACCCCCTCGTGTGCTGTGCCGGCCTTCATTGGTGCTACTCGCTCACAGCTCTTACCACAACAGTCTGTTAAGGCTGAAACGGGTATGTGTATTTGATTATGTGTGTACTCACACGCTCACGTACTTAAGAAATGTATCCGCATCGACAAACTTACGTAGTATATCCTACACTAACAAACCTGGTATTCAAGTATAGTGAGTGGATGGTTTCAACCTGGTCCCGAATGACTCACGCGGAGATCCATAGACTTGCACAGGGAACCAGAGATTTACATTGACTCATATACTGATGGGACAGCTGTCGATAGTGCAGGCGGTGCAGCTGCACTGGGAGGCCCATGCCACGTTGCCAGCATTGTGGTGCGGATGTTTTTTTTTGACGAGGGGTCGCTCTAGACCGATATCTGTATCAGTGACCTCCACGAAAGTGCATTCAAGCAAAATGTAACTTAAAAGACAAACACATCTTTATCTTTCAGATACAGCCCAGGACACGCCGCCTGCGGGGTTGTGTAGCTACAAGATGATAGCCGATTGTTTTGTTGTTGTTGTTGCGATTTTATTCGAGGGAAAACACGCCTCACATTGCTACACAGCGCGCATTCATATACACACCACGATATATCAGGATCTGAGTCTGTGGACAATTTTTTTTTTTAAATACGCCTTAAACCTATTTATACGCTTTCACCTATTTACTTTTTAGTTCACTTAGTAAATGGATTTTTAAAATGTATTTATATGATGTTTATGCTGAGTGTCTGCTGCTGCTACGTCCTGTACAGCACTTTGAGATCATTGATGAAGAGCGCTATATACATCGAATTAAAGGATAGGTTTTCTCCTTTTTTCTGGCAACAAAACAGGCATTAAGATGTTAAAACACCAAACGGAAACCTTTTAAAAGGAGATATGAATGGAATTATTATTACAAACCATTGTAAATCCACTGCTAGACTAGGGGCTCCCCACGCCGTGCAGGTCGTAGGGATTAGCGGATCATACTTCCCCACGCTGGTCAATGCGAGTTGGTGAAGAGCTGAGAGGGGTGGGGGACATGCTCGGCTTGGACATCATTCGCCAGCCAAATGTTGTTGGCCGTGGCCAGAAATGAAACTCAAGATCATGAGCCGGGTTCGGGGCGCTGCAGCGTGCTAACCACTTGCACCACCGCTCCACACAAACCAACTCTAAAAGGAGCACCCTGACAAATATATTGTACTGTACTGCCCCCCCCTCCCCCCCAGGCAGAGCCTACGGGATGCATTGCTTCATGCGCGCTTGGCGCAAGAGCGCTGCTGTTCGGAGCCGTGCATAAATGACGTCACGCACCAGGGGGGGGGGGGGGTCAGACATTTGTGACGATGTGTGACGAGTGGGGGGGGAGTTGAGAAATGTGACGTCACAAAAATGCGCAACTTTAAATAAATATAGACGACACGTTCTACTTAATTAGACTTAAATTTTGATTTAAAGCTTTCGTGACTGCAGTAATTCATATTCTTAGCTCTTTCGGTAAAGTCCCGTTGAATATATATTTTATTATTTTATTGTTTCCCTTCAACGTGACTTTACCGAAAGAGCTAAGAATATTAGTTAGACTTATTAAAATAAAAATGTTCTCCTACAACATCAGAGTGCAGCGGCACATTCAATACGCACTACAATGACAATAGTTTAAAGCGATTTGAAGCATGTTTTATTTTTTTGAAGGAGGGGGGGCAGAGCTTTGTGACGTCATATTTGGGGGGGGGGTCTGACTTTTTGTGACGCCGTGTGACGAGGGGGGTGGACAAAAATCGTCCAAAATCGCGTGACGTCATTTATGGACAGCCCCTTATCACAAATTAAATACTTCCAAGGACCAGCGCGTTGGAAGGAGTTACGGAATCCAAAAGGGTTGCGTGTGATATTTTTTTACTTCCTCGCTTTATTTTCAGTGAAAATGTTTTAATTAATGCACCGACAAATATAAAACAAAAAAATTGGTTTGTATTGCCGGGCATAACCCACGCCCAAGACCATTGCGTCCGAGCTGGGAATTAAGTTATAAAATAAAACGTCAAAGTTCAAACGATCTCTTGCTCAAATAGTAAATTGATTGCGGTGCATTTAGGAGCCGTACTGCGCCAGTAGTGAAAATGTCACATTGCTACCAGATAATTCTCGCGTACCCCCTCGCTGGACTTTGCACATCTCCCGTGAACTGGGTTCAACGTCACAACCGGCACGTGCCGAGAGGAAGGTTCGCTATGCACGCCAGAAAATAAGCGTGCTCCTAAACCGAGAAGGCGATTCGTTACTAAATGGGGAGGGAGTGGCGACAAGCATGCACTTTGGGCAGCTGACGTTTACGAGCCAACCAAACTCGAGCCACAAGCCAAACCCTTATTTACCATCTAACCAGCTACTAGTGCTAGTCCTAACCATCACCACCAATTTAGGCTAACTACTATTGTCAGCTATCCCTAAACCTAACCCACTAGCTCACCTGCAATATATCTATCCTTAACCCGGACCAACTCGTCAACCAGTTATACTCGTGCTAGCTCTAACTAACCAACCAACTATACTAGTGCTAGCCATAAGCGAAGCCTAACGCTAACAACCACCTAGCCAACCAGCTACTAGTGCTCGTCACTTCTTTAAACGTAATCAGTCAAATATCGCGAGCCATATCCCTAAACCCATCTCGTATTCTCTTGGCATTTTCACCGACTAAATCACAATTATCCAAGCAGTCAACTCATTTTGCCTTATAGAATGAAATAATCTCTCTTACACAAACCGACGGCCCTTCTAAGAATGTATAATTTTAGCATCATTATTTCAAAAGAATCAAACTCATCAGCAGTCAAACTGGTGAACTGCGAGATACCTTCCGAGTGCAGAATTTCAGGGCGTTTTATTTACGAGAAGCGAACACATCAGTAGAGTCACAATGGTGAACTGTCAAAAGCTTATAAGGCAAGGAACCTCTCTTTAAGATATGGGCACTGGCGCCACAAAACAATGGAATACAAAACGCGAAATACGCAATACAAAAAAACAAGGACGCTAATGATCGTTCTGGTTTAACGTTTAATCATTTGACAGGCAGAGCCTGGTCGTGCATGTGTACACACTGCCACCTGCAGGAGATAAACAGCAGCACTCACGTCCGCGTGGAGTGGCCATTGCCCCCACGTGTCCATACCGTGTATTTGCCTTTGTCGGTACCACCTGTGAGAGAGATGGCATAACTTGAAACGGTTTCCAACTTGCTGCAAACGCTTAATTGTGCGATAACCGTTTGAAAAGCGCGGGTTACCAAACAATACATCTCAGGAATCTTTCAATTCGCGTGTGTTTTGTTCACGATAGTTAAATCCTGCATCGCGTTTGTTGCGCAATATTCCTCGTACTTAATGTTGGTTGAACTTCTTTCGCACCGTACGTAGCCAACCCCACTAATTACAGTGCACACAAAATGCAGTTGTAAAGTAGTGAGGTTTTTAAACGACTCTGCTCTATTCGTTCTCTACAGTGTCGATCTTATTGTACTTTTGTTACTACTGCTGCTGCTGCGCTTACGCATGCACCACGGACCTCCCGTGTAAAATAGCCGGGCAACTGCTAAGACGGCATAATCTGTGCAATAAATCAAATTAATTCAAATTTAACCGTAGGTGTTGCTACTTTTGGCGCTTTTCGTTCTAGCCTACTTCTTCTGAAGGCTCACCTTTAGTGCCGCCACTATTACATTTTTGGTCAGCCAAGTCACGCCCGTGTATAGGTGTGGGTCGAGTCTAGCGAGTGTAATGGATAACAAAACGGAGGCGATTTAAGAGTGTCGGTTCGTCTTTAATTTGTAAACAAGCTCCCCGTGCCCGTTATGAGACCATAACGTATATGTGGACAACACGGTGAACTTACAGCCTACCCCAGGACGACCCCACACTCACACCCGATGCTACGCGTTCCCCAACACACACACACACCCTTTAAGGCACGTTTAGCCTTAGATGCCATTTTACCACCCACTTTTGAGCTACTTTCATAAGAAAGCCGACTTCGAGGTGACCGCTCGAAGTTGCTCGCCGTTGGCCTCCGCCGGCCTGCCACCGACGCCTCCTGGCTACTTGCCACAACAGGGTAGAGTCAAAGGCAGCCTTCCTGCGCTCCTCTGCCCGTCCCTGGCTCCCTACCGGGGCGTCCACTGAAAGAAAAGAAAAAAATCACAGTGACTGTTAATGAGACCCTGGTGCATTACAAAAATATATTTCTTTAATATCCCCACTCTAACCCCACAGTTCTGTGGAGCCGTTACTTACAGCTGGACGCGTGGTTGTTTTAGAGGACCCGCTCCTGTCCCCTGCTGGCTGAAGCTCGAGAGCAGATATAGCTGGGGTCTTCCTACATTCACCCCCCCCCCCCCCCGCTATATTCGGGTGGGGTGGGTGTGTGTGTGGGTCCCTATTTACAGGATACCGGCCGCACTAATGGCGATTGACACCTTGCTTGTTGCAGGTGTCTCTAATTTTCACCACCCGCTTTCCCTACGACAGGTGGACCCCACCCTCCATTGTGTTCTGCCTTGCTACTTAGTGGTGCCATGTGACAGATGGTACTGTACCAATTTCTGATCTAGCCCATGGACTCTACTGTGGGGGGGAAATAGATTTAGCGTTCACGTTGCGCCTACCCCCCCCCCCACCCCCCCCCCCGGGGAGGCTAATGATACAACCAGCAGTGACTGAATAATACGCGCTCCAACTTTTGAATCCCGGTCTAAAAAGGCACACGCTAAATAAATAGCTCTATCCACACGACAGTCATACTCTCCTTGCTTTGACGGTGCTCTGAGCTTGGTGGTGGAAATTTCACATTTTCTATGGCTGGGCGAGTCACTCCATAATTCAACCACTGTTGTAGTTAGCACAAATTAGTACGTGCTTTATTTACCCCCCCCCCGCCCGCCCCCCAGAAGAAGAGAAAATACGAGTCGACCCGGCCGAGATTGTTTTTAACGGAGCTCGTCCTATTGTTTTCCAGCTCTTTGTCAATCTAATTGTTGGATGAAGTCCTCCCCCACGCCATATCGGTCACTTACCACTGATGTTAGCCGTGGCCTGGGAGTCGAACTCATGCTCAGGTTGGTGGGTTCCTAGCGCAGTGCGCCAACAAATCACTGCACGATCGTCTCAGCCGATGATTGCAGCATCTCACGACCTAAAGTATACACTGGCACATTTTTTGTGCCCACTTACGCGTGACGCTCAACTTCTGGGATTTGTGGTAGAGTTGCGGTTTTGGGGTGAGTGCAAAGGTGACAATCCATTCAACTAATGTACTGCCGTGGCGTCTCTGGGACGTCGTCAGAAGTGTGCCGGTGATTTTAACGTTAAAGTGTTCTTCACTAACAAAGTTGCAGACTCGTGTGGAATAGACCGGCGCACTGACCTTTGGTGTGTCGTTACAAGATAAGAGCTGCTTGCGTTTGGGATTGTGCCTTCATTTATAAGGCTGGCGTACATTTAAGGCCAATGATGTGGATATAGGTTAGAACATTCACGATGAATTTTGATTCAAAGCTTTCGTGACTGCAGTGATTCATAGTCTTGGTTCTTTCGGTAAAGTCACGTTGAAGGGAAACAATAAAATAATAATATATATAAAACAATAAAATTATCACGACGTTTCGACTGTAACACAAACAGTCATCATCAGGTTTGAAAACCAACGGCAAGAACATTTGAAAAAAGTGGCGCTTTGTATTTATTTATTTTTAAACGTTAGCACCACGGATAGCGATTTGACAGTTTGTTTAGAAGGACGAGTCCATCTATGGTCGGAAAAGAGGAGGGGGGAGACAAAAAATTAATGTATGCTGTCTGAAAGCCACCGTGAGCGTGAACGATCAATTAAGACCCGAAATGGTTTATCAAATCCTTCCAATGATTGTTAAGCCAGAATCCATCTTCTCGGTTGAAATTGTCTCTGTGTTTGTATATGTGGATAGCCTCATGAACGAATCTCTCATGGTAGCCCGATGGCTTGCAAAGAACCTCTGTCTTGGAGAAGTCAATGTCATGTGAGCCTACTGAATTATAACAGTGATCTGCCACGGCCGAAGTGTTGGTCCTACCATGTTTAAGGTCTGCTTTGTGTTCACGAATGCGGTCCGAGACATGTCGTTTGGGTTCTCCAATGTAACTACTACCACAGAGGCAACTTAGTTTGTAGACACCAGGGTACTGTATGTCCGGAATCACATCTCTTACAGACGGAACCAGATCACGGATTTTATGTAATGTGTGGAAACGGACCTGGATCTTGTGCACCATAGAGCCCAATGCATATCCGACCAGGAACACATAGGCAGTGAACTCAAGCACGTACACCAAGCTCTTAAGGCTAATGGTTACTCCGACTATACAATCCGCAAAGCTATCACGCAAACCATGAAGAAGGACCCTGTTGAGGAGCCTTTCAAAACCATCACTTTACCCTACATTGCGGGGATCACAAAAAAGATCCCCAAAATCTTGAATAAACACAGGATCCAGGTCCGTTTCAACACATTACCCTGGTGTCTACAAACTAAGTTGCCTCTGTGGTAGTAGTTACATTGGATAAACCAAACGACATGTCTCGGACCGCATTCGTGAACACAAAGCAGACCTTAAACACGGTAGGACCAACACCTCGGCCGTGGCAGATCACTGTTAAAATTCAGTAGGCTCACATGACATTGATTTCTCTAAGACAGAGGTTCTTTGCAAGCCATCGGGCTACCATGAGAGATTCGTTCATGAGGCTATCCACATATACAAACACAGAGACAATTTCAACCGAGAAGATGGATTCTGGCTTAACAATCATTGGAAGGATTTGATAAACCATTTCGGGTCTTAATTGATTGTTCACGCTTACGGTGGTATTCAGAGAGCATACATACATTTTTCGTCTCCCCCCTCCTCTTTTCCGAACATAGATGGACTGGTCCTTCTCAACAAACTTTACCGAAAGAACCAAGAATATATATACATTCACGATGTTTACTTGCAACGTGGACGAAGGAGCGTATCATTGACCACGATCCATCCACTGCTGGATAAAGACCTCCCTAAGCTGTCGCTATAGCTCATGATCTCGAGATGCAACGCTCCATCGAGCACCAGTACCACGAGCCGAGCTCATCGCTCCGTATCCGCGTTGAACGGTCCCCTATTCGGGCAGTTTCCCTCCTTTGGCTGCCACTCTCTCCTTAGTCTCGACCACCGGCAGTTGTTCCTCCGAGCGACGCTTTCTGCCCGAGCACACATATTTCTTCGCGGTGAACGAGATGTTCATCTTACGTGAATTCTCTAAGGGGCCGTCCATAAATGACGTCACGCACCGAGGGGGGGGGGGTCAGACATTTGTGACGATGTGTGACGAGGGGGGGGGGGGGGTTGAGAAATGTGACGTCACATCGAAATGCGCAACTTTAAATAACTATAGGCAACACGTTCTACTTAATTAAATATACTTTTTTAATAAATGTTTTCTCCTACAACATCAGAGTGCAGCGCTACATTAAATACACACTACAATGACAATAGTTTAAAGCGATTTGAAGCTTGTTTTATTTATTTGGGGGGGGGGGGGGAGGTCTGACTTTTTGTGACGTCGTGTGACGAGGTGGGGGGGGGGGGGTCAAAAATCGTCCAAAATCGCGTGACGTCATTTATGGACGGCCCATAATCCGCGTATCCTGTCTCTCGGCGTAATTCCAACCACGTGCCTCTCCGTGCTACTTTGCGGCACTTCCAATCTTTCGTTCAATATTCCTCAATAACGCCCCTGTTTTTTGATCCAAGCCGCTACCACGAAACGATGTTAGGAGCTGCTTTTGTAAAGAGCTTCCGAGGGCAATGCGGCTATCGTCAACGGCTACTGCTGCCAATCGCAAATATATCCGTGTGCGATCTTATTCGGTGCGACTGTGTCATGAGCCTACGCGTATGCAGCTGCCGTGCATGAGTAGTTGCTGATATCCAGAGCTGCTGCTGCTGTTGTTGTTAAGAGCAGCTATGAAGGGGAGCTTCTTTTAGCAGCAGCTATATCAGTAACTGCTGTTGTAAAGATGTGTCATGAACTGCTATATCAGGCACTGTTGCCGAAGTGGTTGCTATTGAATGGAGCTCTTTTGCACAGATGTCCAGCAGGGGCGGGTCAGAACGCTACAACAACAAACAATACATACACATGATAGGAGTGCAAAGTATAACAAATGTAAATAAATCACTTTAAACATATACAATTTAATACTAAACTATTTAGTTTGTTTTATCTTACCAGGTAAAGCCCACTGCGGTATTAATTTATCTTTCGGAAGCCGATCTGGTCCACGAAGGATAGCTAAACAAAGTGGGCTAAGCATGTGGAAATGTATCGCAGCTAAATAATCTAAATGCATGTCTCTAAATGTTGAGGGAGAAACCGCAAAACCCGAAGAACGAAAAAAATCCACGCGACCACGGGGAGACCATGCAAACTCCAAATATGCCGGCATCAAGGTATGATTAGCTGATGCAGTATCAGCAGCAGCTATGCCAGTATCCGCTGTGCAATGCTCTTCTGTATTAGGTGCGATTTCATCAGCAGTTGCTGTTGTCCGGAGCTGCTGTATCACCCATCAGCTATGCCATTTATTTTTTTTATTGATGCTTGTTTACCCAGGAAAGCCTCGCTGAGTCTCACGACTCATTTCCAGGAGGCTCCTGCGAAATTGTCGCAGTAGGGGGTAATGGCTGCTCGATGTAAACGCAATTGAGTAATTTTCTTGCAAGGTATTTGTTCAGCTTTTGGATGTTTTGTACAATACCAGTTACATTGTATGTTTTTCTTTCAGCTGTGGTACGGGAGGAAACCGGAGAACTCGGACAGACAAGACCCATGTTAAAATAGGGGAAAACAATCTCCACGCAACAAAATAAACACGCAGAAAATACTCCTCCACATTCCCGTCGCCGCATACAATGTCATAGCGTTTCTCAAACAATCGATCAGCCTCACGGCCTTCTGGAGGGGGGCTATAATTTCAGCAGCATTGATTCAAAACAAACTCTGGACCAGTTTCGACGTACAATGTCTAACCAGAAGAGTCGGGCTTGTTTGATACAATGCTGGTGAAACTGCCGAACAAATCCAGAGTTCGAGTCCCGCTCGCGGCCACCAACACCAGTGACGATTATCTGAACCAGTCATGGGCCTCCCCTAGATCGACTCAGCCTCAAATGGTGCGTTGTATAAACATTACCACGTGTTGGCCACCGTGTGCCACTCCGGCCTTCATAGGAACTCGCTAACTCGCAAACAGAACTTGCCCAAACAATGGTTAAAGCTATATATTCTTGGTTCTTTCGGTAAAGTCACGTAGAAGGGAAACAATAAAATAATAAAAATATAAATCAAAATTCTCACGACGTTTCGACTGCAACACAAGCAACACAAGCAGTGGAAACGTCGTGAGAATTTTATTGTTTTATATTTTTATTATTTTATTGTTTCCCTTCTACGTGACTTTACCGAGAGAACCAAGAATATGAATCCCTGCAGTCACGAAAGCTTTAAATCAAAATTTAATGGTCAAAGCTATACGGGTAAATGTTTGTATTTGTCTTATAGGCAATAGGGGTGCTGCTCGTCGCAAAATTATATGAATACAGAACTCGAAAAATAATCGTAAGCGTCGTTGTGGACAGGCGCCTGAGTCGGGGGCTGGGACCCAGGAAACTTTTTTTCTTTTACTGCGAAACTCAAAAGCAAGTCATGCCGCCCGACATGACTTGCTCTAACCAGGCGTTGTTCCACCGCAGCAGCATCGTCACCGTCATCCATCGCACGCTGCTCGCAGCTGTGAAGGTTCAGCACAGGGGGCGCTCCTGGGCAGCGATGGAGCGACTCCTGCGGGGTGCGGGATGAGGAACGCTCAGATTTGTGTGCATGTCGAACGCCATTCGCGCAGCACGGAGCCAACCGTGAATCATCAGTGGCACGATTATTAATATCTGTGGGTGATTCTTTATATTTGCTTTAACAGGTAGGCTTTCGCGACCAATAGTGTCCACAATAAAAGTTTTTTGGGTTAGATCGCGTAAATATAAACGTGTCATTAAACACGAAACGGCCCGACAAAGCAAATTAGTTAGGTTTGTCACGTAAACAAAACATTCTCTACTACTACAGCACACCGGTATGTTGGAGAGTAAACACACAATTTATAAATTTTGATTTAAAGCTTTCGTGACTGCAGTAATTCATATTCTTAGTTTTTTCGGTAAAGTCACGTTGAAGAGAAACAACAAAATAACAAAATATATATAAAACAATAAAAAATTCTCACGACGTTTCGACCATAACTCACCTGATGATGACCGTTTGAGTTATGGTCGAAACGTCGTGAGAATTTTTTATTGTTTTATATATATTTTGTTATTTTGTTGTTTCTCTTCAACGTGACTTTACCGAAAAAACTAAGAATACACAATTTATACTTAGGCGATATAACCCTAAAACCTCTATTATATAATTTTTATATGTTTACAAAATATATGATGTATTCGCTTTTGTTTAATATGTGCTGCAAACGTAATCGTTTTAATTCTTTAAAATTATCTAGTATGTAGTAGATAATTACGAACATATAAATAAAGTTATTTAGTAACTTCTTGATAACTGAGAAGATATTAAATACGTTTAATAATTGTGTTATTGATTTTTTTTACATATATAAAGAATCAAACAGCAAGAAATATCATACCATACAGTACAAGCCGAAGCATGAATTAAGTGAAAATTTACTTCATAGCTCATCGGATTCCTCCAGTCTAAATAAAGATTCTGATTCTGATCATTCACTCTGGGCCAACGTTGTTTCAACGTGCATGTGTCGAAGTCATAAAGACGTCATACATAGACGTTGACATTCCAATCAACATCGATATGGACGTTAATATTTCGACGTTGATCCGACAAATCCATTGTATTCGCATTGTTGGAACGTCACGATCGGACGTTGTTCTAACGTCAATTCAACGTAATTTGCCTTCTGGGCAAGCATTCATTCCTTCACTCGTTGAAAAAAAAACCAACGACCAACTCGGTCTACAATTAAAATGAGAAATAGATTCACTTATCTACGTACAAAGTGTGTGTTGTCCTCCTCATTCATGGACATGTGTACGGCCCTTTGCCATTCGACGACTAGCTCATGGATGCCAAGCACGCGCGGTTGCTGGTCGTGGCGGTTATTTGACCATACTTCACCACCCTGGTCGATGCGTGTTGGTAAAAGGCGGCCGCGTAGACGTGCAAGCGTAGAGGTAGTGTGCAACAGTGGATGTGATTGAACTGCCTTCTGCTGTTCAATACGTAGCGTTAGTAGCCCTGATCTTCCTCTGCATGCTAAGTGCGTGTGTTGCAATGTAAACAGATGTCGTCAGCAAGAATACTGTGATCTGAGTTCGAGTCCAGGCCACGACTTACGTTAGCAGTGGCAAGCGAAATCCGAACCGGTTCTGGGACCCCCCCTCCGGTTCTGGGACCCCCCCTCCCCCTTCATCAATCCCTCAATAACCAGCGCGGTCAAGTATGGTCAAACAACTCCACATGACTCAGGGAAGCTTTAACCCAGTAATTGATTGTCAAAGAGCTGTATATTATACATATTAAATATTTGTCTTGATGTTAAGTGGATTTTTGTTTCTAGGTCTCAAGCCCGTTATTCGAACAGTTAGCAAATTATTTCGGCCCAATATTTATTTGAAAACCCTAAGTTTTCTTGAACGTAGTTACATTTGTCATCGCTCGCCATATGGCCCCTCATTCACGTCTCTGCTCAAGAGTCGTACACAATATGTATCAAAACTAAACTCAACACACTCGTCAAGGGCAACACTGCCTTACAATGAAAACAAATATCTAATCGGCAACGTTTTAGGAGATGGTCCTACTTCAGAGCACAAGGCCCGTTGCCCCAAACATAGATGATTATATATATTGCTATAAAGGCAGTGTTGTTATTGACGACTTTATTTATTCATTTTGTTAACTGTGCTTGTGCACCACTGCCAACGCAGCAGCGTCATCAAATCGTTCGTTTAACGATCAAGAGTTGCAGCATATCACTTATAGCGCTACGCGAGGAAGTGCACTTCGCTGAGCGACAGCTCCTCGCCTCACCATCTCCCCACCCTCGGGTACCCCCCCCCCACCTCGTGCGTGCCAACCCCCAGGCGCCCCCACCCTCGCGCGCTCGGCCCCTTACGGTTTTGTACACACCGCGGTATTAACCAGAGCGGCCGCTGGAATCGAACCGCGAGCTTCTGCAACAAGTGGCGAACGCGCTGCCGCGAGGTCACGACACCGCCCAATCAGGCGAGGACAACAGTGTGGGGAGGCCTTCGTTCAGCAGTGGATGAAGGCTGCTCGTGAGGAATATAGTTCAGTTATGCGGGGCATCGTGACAATAGGTTTTACGCGTCAATAAATGTAGGATGCGTTCCCCAAACGGAATCGTTTTACAAATTGCCAGTTCTGATGGCCGTGTCCTGTATCCAAAACACCCGGTGCAGTTTTAATGTCATGCATGTACCCAGGAAAACTTGAATGAGTCTCAAGACCTTTCTTCGGGAGGATCCTGCATTGGGGATGTTTTTGGCGTATTCCACGAATTCGTATTTTGTCTTCGTGTGAAGGAAACCAATGAACCACGATTAAAACCCCACCCGACACCTCGCAGCCACACTTCCTACCTACAACACCTAGCAAGCCCTGGCGGTCACACATCCCACGACTCAACCTAAGCTTTAGCCTCCTAGATCCGACGAGAACGTATGTATGTGGGTTGAACTTCTTTCGCACCGTACGTAGCCAACCGTGCTAATCGGAGGTGCGAATCGAGGAAATGTCGGGTTGATGTTGTCGTAAATCAAAACTTGAGCTAAAGTGGTAGTGGCGCACTCCTGTGGTCCAGCAGTGGAGGCTAGGGTTGGTGGATCATACGTATATTGTGAAACTCCCTTCCTGCGGACGCTGGGGTGGTACATTACCCTGGCTTGCCAGGAAAGTCAGAATCTTTATTTACACTGGAGGAATCCAATGAGCTTTGAAGCTCTTTTTCACAGATGTCCAGTGTCGAATTCCGTACAGCCAATGTGAGCACCATTTGTGTTGTCTGTGTGGGAATAGAGTGTTGCTCCGTCGCACTAGTGGATTTTCTTCGGCTCCTCCAATATGTGAACACTCATTAATTGGATTAAAACATCTTCATATGCAGAGGACTGCGGAGCGCGGGCAATCTTTGTCCCCGGTTCACTGACTGCCTTACCGCTTGTCTGTAGTTCCTCGCACCTCGGAATAAGTCCTGTGTCGTCGAGGGCGAGCGAATCCTGTGCGGCGCGTTAAACGACCACAATAATAAAGCTACCAAGCGTTTTTGGTGGTATCTGTAGTAACCTCACAGTTGTATAAATGACGCGTACTGTCGATTGATTGCACGGTAACGGAATTATACGAGCATACACGCTCTATGCAATGCGGCTCTTTGATTCGCATCGTACCCAGGCAATTTTGCGTTCAAACAATCAACAGCCATAACCTTTCCAAATGACGTTACTTCATAAAAGTTTACGATTGTTCTCCCCTCCCCCTACCCCCCTGTTTTACGTGCTATGTGATTCCTTTACGGTGCATCTTGATGCAAGCCGCGACTTCCAGAGGAAGAAGAGGAGGGAGGGAAAAGCGCTACCCGCCAGGGGCTTTTTAAAAAAAAAAAATATGTAAAGCGGCGCGCATAGATTATGCTAAGCAGGGGAGGTATTTGAGGTCTGCCTCATGCGCCGAGTCGCGATATGGAGCAGTAGCATCCGAGTTTCAGGTAGCGGCGCACGGGACGGACAGCACAGCACGTGTAATAACGACTAATACTACTCATACAGCAGCAGCAGCAGCAAGTAGCGGCAGTGGGGGGAGTGGTGAGAGGCGAACGCTCCATTGCCGGCTCGCGCGAGCGGAGGAGCGAGCTGCATTACGCGCCGTCAAGTTGGGGGAGCGAATTGATTTTAACCGGTGGCAGTTGCAGTGGCAGCGGCGGCGGCGGCGGCGGCGACGACGCGCGAGCCCGACTGCTTCTGTAGAGCGGCCGTAGCTTTCACGGCTCTCGTCACCTCGCCTTATTGTGGAAGAGGACGGGGAAGAGGAAGGGGAACTTCAACGCGGGGAGAGAGGAGCGAGCGAGCGAGCGAGCGTGGGATGAACTCGCGTTGAGCGGAGAGAAGCGACGCACGCGGCGAAGAAGCAGAAGACAACCACGCAGGGACTTCGACTCATCCACACCTCCGTCTTCCCCATCCCCCTCCCCTTCGCACGCCATGGAAGCAGCACGGACGACGAGTAGAGGATCCTCCGAGGGATCCTCCAAGGGAAACTCCAAGGGACCCGCCTGTCCCCTCGCCTCCTCGGGTGGCGGCCCATGCTCTCCGCAGTCCCCGACGCACTTCGTGCTCGCGCTGTCGTGGGCGATCCTCGCGACCGCGTGCGTGGCGCTGTTCGCGCGCAGCGAGACGCTGGGGGGCCGGGTGAGCGCCCTCGAGCGCAGCCTCGGCGCCCTGCCCGCGGCCGGGTCCGCCGCGGTGATGCAGCAGCAGCAGCAGCATTGGGACGGCGTCCTCGGGCCGCGACTTGAGGCGCTTCTCAATCGGGTAACTTCACCCAACAAGCGGCTCTTCTTGCGGCCCCCCACCGCACCTCACCACCCATCTCGCAGGCTGCCCGCTCCGTCGCTGTGTGCCTCGTGCTCGTATGCCCCTGCTGATTGATTAATTACGATGATAGAGAACAGGTCCCTGCAGGGTGGGCTGGTAGGACAAGTCTCTGCGCTGTCTATTGCTGATTTTACACCCAACAGCACGAGATTTCACTTCGTTAAAATATTGAAAGGGGACGGACGGACGGACACATTAATCTATTGCAGGCTTTTACACTCAGTTTACAACTTCGTTCCTACCAGTATAATGCACTCTCAGAAGGCCGTTTGGCTGATAGGATGTGTAAAAATAACGGACAGATATGCGAGACGTATTGTCCGCGCATCTATGTTGTTAGATTCTCCACAATGACGCTAATGTTTGTTTTGTATGTTGCATGATTTGTTATGAGTCGAACTGGGACCCATATCTAACACGGAGAGAGAGAGAGGGAGGTTTGGTTCAAGCAAGCCGAACTATGTGGATGAGACACGGAATGTCGAAACCGATCCAGACTTTGCTTGTGTAGAACCATTGCTGTTGAAATGATGTACTCCGTTGAAAGTCGTGCGTGATTGCTGGGCTGTGTAGTTTAGAATAGTTTATACAGAGGGACAGTTAAGTGATGGGGGCAAATTGTCTGCTTGTGTTGTCAATGATGAATACATAGTGATTGATAATGGCGATGATGAAGAGTGACCTTCATGATTTGTGATGGACATTGGACAAATACGATGATGAACGTGATGCTGATGATGATGATGATGAAGGGTAGTGACAATGATTAGGGTAATGAAGAGTAACTATTATAAATGCTTCCAATAATGAGGAGTTCCGCCACCCTGGATAATACCATACTCCCCACGTGCTTGACTAATAACAGGAGTGAGGCTGCACGTGTGAATGTGTGTGTACGAGTCGCAGCGAACACAATACAATTTGCCATGGGGACGCGTCTTGCGACTTGCAGCCTGCACTTAATGTGCGAGTGCACGTGTGCGTGTGTCGGTTATCTGAACCGGTCCTGGGCCTCCTGTAGGTCAACTCCGTCTCAAATTAGTACATGGTGTGGTGTGTAAACATCGCCACTAGGGAGACAAAGGCGGCCGGGCGTGGTGCTGGCCACCCACCCCCTTGTGTTCCGTGTCGGTCATTGTAGGTGCTCGCTAACAGCACTTGCCCCAACAGTCTTAAGGCTATACGGGGGGGATCATTCATTGTCTTTGTATGTGTCAAAACCGTTACTTCGTAGACATTCACAAATAAAGTTTGCGGTTCAGCACTTACCTGCACTTCGGTCGCATTCTATGGCTAACACACACGCGATAATAATAAACCTACGGGTGCCAATCAATAGAACCAACTGCGTGCAGGCGCGGCCTCTAAAGCGCTCGCGACATGACATGATTAATTAAGCAATCAATTAGGCAGTTTAATAACCGCCTCATTGTTTCCGCAACCGCGCCGCATACACAGCATTCCCCATTCGAATGCAAATCAGTCGTGCGAGTACTCAAAGGCGAAGTGGTAATGAGTCGGGCGGGATGATGTTGGCAAGAAGTTCAGTTATTGTTGAATGAGTTCACCTTGGTCGACTGCGGAGCTGGAGTGGCGACACGTGCGCCTGAATTGACGACGTTGGTTTAATCAGAACCTTTGGTCGGAAAAAAAAACCCCGCGCGCGTCTGCGCTTAAAGGGTTGAAACTGTTTGTTTTTGGGCTATGTTGCTGCTGCTGCTTCTGCGATCGCAGCGGTGCACAAGCGCAATTAGCAACGACAAAACTGAACACATTCGGCAATAACACCGTGGCCTGAAAAGGGAAAACCATATATTTAATAGGCGACGTTTCGGGCAACGGTCCTTTATAGGTGGAGGAGTTTATCTCACCGTTGTTAGCATTATTGACGATGAATATGCCCATGAGCTGAAACACGCGTTCACGTTTCAATGATAAATGGTTAAAAATTATAGTTACTTAACCTTAAAAAAATACATATATATTTTTTAACTCTACACGATGTTCACTTGTAATGTCACGACAATAAACTGCATTTCCCTGTGGTAGTCAAGCAGCGTCCTCATTACGTCTGCTTCTAAACATAAAGTGATGCAATAGGCTGACGTTTCGGGCAATTCCCCTTGCTTCTGGGATTTTAAGAGGTACCGTTTCCCAAAACGTTAGCCCATGTGGTTCCGATTTTTTTACATGGCCAATAACGGCCATTGAACAATGTTCAATAACCTTTGTCGCAAGAATATAGGCTATCGCGTAACTGGCTTTTAATAACTATATATATTAAAATCACTGCTGCTACTGAAATGTCGCCACCTCGTGAGATGCCAAAACGCGAATTGTCTGACCTTCACTCAGTGCATACACAGGATTAATACACGTACGATTCTGTTTGCGAAGCGCTCACTTGTAGAAATTGTATCTTGAACACATTCATCCGGCCACATCACAGACAAGCGGAGCAACGTTTGTGATCGGGGGGCGGGGGGGGTTGAAGGGAGGAACGTCGGGTTGAATGCAGCCAAAGTATCCACAGAAGCATTGGGGTATTAAACTTTGCTCGTCACGACACGGTAATAACAGCCCCGGGTAATAACGGGACCCGTTCATCACTGTCCGCAAATGCTCCCCTGATCCAGCTGCCAAGAAAAACACTCCTAATGCACCCGCCCGATATCGTGGGATCGCTCGAAGTTAAGCAGGGTTTTTGAGCCTGGTTATTATTCGGATGGGAGTAGTAGATTCAGTTTATAGGCTTGGGCTGCGAGGTAGCCTGGAGAGGTAGTAGATCAGGAATCAATTATTGAATCTAACGGTGCTCGGGTGTAAGTGTTAACTCTCTGGATGCGTGATGGGTTTTCTCCGAACACACCGGGTTTTTTCCTACACTGAGCCAAACTATAATTAATGTAATTTGGCCAAACATCTTAATGTAATTTAATTCTCCTGAAAAAAACGAGTCTACAGACTCATGGCAGCTTTGCTGGGTAAATAAAAGACATTAGCCAATTATCAACCAGCTCTGAAGGTCCGTTCGCGCCGTACACGTCGATGCATGAATCCGGGTCTCGCTCGCAAAATAACCGGGTGGCGGTGGGGTGGTTAGCGCGTTCGTCCCGCGATCAAATAGGCGTCCAGTTAAGTTCCCGGGTCGGGAACCATTTCAGCTCATCATCGATCCGAGATCGATAAAATGTCGGTATCACTTTGGGAGAAGTCAAAAGTAGTCGTCCGTTCTATGGCCAGCCGCGGAGTTGTTACCGCTGACTTTGGGTCTCTAACGGAGATGAGAATCCCTCGTTGCCCGTGAGATCAGTGACGAGTTTTGTTTAACGCCTTTGTAAAACCTCGGTGTTTCTTTGGTGGGGGGGGGGGGGGGGAATGAAATCGCGGCCATTCAGGTTTTGAGATTATGATTAAGGCAGGTATAGATAGACCCCCTTACCAACCTGCACTGACCAGCGTGGTGAAGTCTAGTCAAACAACCCCCACGATCCACACGGCGTGGGAAGGACGTCATCCAGCAGTGGACTGGCAATTCGCCCGTTCTTGCGTATGTAAGGCAAAGGTTGTGAGGTCACGAGTACCGCAGTTGGGGAGGGGAGATCATTACCCCACACTTAGCGCGAACCCAGTTCGACTCTAGATCCGCGAGTCGCACCACACGGCAAAAGAGGTCGCGGCACGGTTGTGCCAATAATCTACCAGGAGGGGAACTGCGTTCAAGCCGCGGTGAATGGATGCGCGCGTTTATATTTCCATGCGCTCTAGCGTGTCTCGCTTAACGAGCGGAACGTGTAAGTAATGCTCGTCGAGAGCCCCTCGCGAAGATTCCGCGGCTCCTATGGAGGCCTCCGCCGTCTCGGTGAGCTCCCCGCGTCTCGGGGGGGGGCGCAGAGCCGCTACGATGACCCGCGCCATGGAGGAGACCGCGGGAGGCGAGCAGCCAGAGGAAGGGCAGGAGCCGTGGCAATTCGATCGCTTCAAATCTTTGTGGGCGGGGGGGGGGGGGGGCGAGAGCGATGGTTTCATCAAAGTGAGAGAGAGCGGGAGGGAAAAAAAAATCCCGCGCAACAAATTCAACCAAACGGAGAATGCGGAACGGTGTAGGTGGGCATAGGTGCACCAGCTTTGTTTCGATTCTGTCTTTTGAATTGCAATTCAGAAACGTGTAACGATGATGACCACACGCACCGTGCGCTAGTTAATTGCGCACGCGCACTTTGGTGTCAATTGCTAATGGGGCGCGCACGCTTTGCTGATGTTAAGATGTCAAATGTGCACGTGGTACGTGCGTTGTGATGACGGTATGGACGTGGCGATGATGCTTATATGGCAAGACCTCGCTTAACGCGTGTTCTCACAACGCGTTTTCGCTATAAGGCGGTTCTTCGACGAGGGAACACTTTTCGCACAACGCGTTTCTGAGCGGTCAACGACGAACTACTTTCTTGCGCTGCACGGCTGAGAGGTGTGATACAGGACGCGGAATGATACAATAACGCCGCGGCGTACCCTCGGTTATTTGTCCTCGCCATCTCACCGCGTGTGCGGAGTACATCGCATCTCGCCAAACTTTATCGTTGCATCATTTATGGGGGAAATTGTTTTTCGCTGAACGCGTTTTTCGCTCAACGTGGCACTGTTCCGGAACCGCGTAAAACGAGGACTTGCCCTAACGGTTGTGACGGTGTGCTCATGCTGATGCTGGCGATGATGGTGAGCGCGTGATGATGAATGACGACCGGCGGTGTGCGCGCCCCCGTGTGTGCAGAGGCTGGAGGAGGAACTCCCGCGCCTGCGGAGAGCGAGGGAGACGTCGACGAAGCTCTGTTCGTGCCCCCCAGGTAAACGGAGGGGGTGTTCTCCCTGTGTGTGTGTGTGTGGCATGCGTGACTGCGCGCCTATTAATAGGTGCTCGCTAACAGTCCTCTTAGCCCAACAAGGGATAAACGCGGGACATTTGTCTTTGGGCGTGCGTCGAGGTTGGCGCTGCCAAAGTGGTTGGAGAAGCGTGTGCACCCATGGCTATTCGTGTGTTCATTTGGCAAGGGCCTTCCGTCAGGTCGTCTCGACCTAAAATGCGTAACTGATACAGTATCAGCATTGTGGTCTTGCAGCATCATCACTGCAGCTGCGGATGTGACCCATTCTCAACAGCCGTTTTGCGTGCCACACCTGGCACGATAAGTGCTCGCTAACAGCACGTGGCTGCGACAGTCTAAAGAGGAAGAAGAAGCAGACGTCGGAGCGTGTCGTAGTAAGGGGGCAGTGCTTCGCGAACTGTGGTTACGAACCGGTGACCCGCGCTCGATTCCCGGCCACTGCTAAAATCATTGGCGCGTGGTATCTGAACCGGTCCTGGGGACACTCCACGATCGAACTCGACCTTCAAAGAAGAGCAGCTGCCTGCGGTGTTTCAACACCGGCACCGGAGAGAAACAAAGACGGCCATGCGTGTTAATGACCACACCCACATATTCGTGTGCGAAACAACCTGCGCGTCCTGTACGTCTCGGGGAGGGTACCGTCCAGCAGTAGATCCACACGTGGCTGTACATGTACATATGTATTTACGTACAATTTTGATCCATGTGCTGAGTGGTGGTTATGTTTTTTGAGTTGTGCCTTGGGGAATTCGCGGTCCACGCGTTGGGCGCAGCGCGTCTCTCCGCAGCACAACGATGCTTCTGACAAGGGGAAGAGCGGGGAGGCGGGGTCGCTCACTCACTCGGTACTTTATCAGCTTTGTGTAGGAGACTACGGGGGGGGAGGAGGTGGTGGTTGGGGTCAGGGGAAGGGGAGTGGGGTGGGAGGGGGAGCGCAGCTTGTGAGGACATGGAAACTTTCTCCCTTGCCTCCTCATTGAGTCGGGCTCCAGTGATGGGTTACACACACACGCATTCAAACAAAACTCCACTCAGAGAGGCCAGATTTCACATTTTTACTAAACGGCTGTGTGACCACCAAGGGCATCATTGCCTGCCACGTGTTGTAGTCATCGGGATGCGACGTGTGGCAGTGCTGAGTGTCACCACCTTGTATGCAGCGCGGTGCTGGGTTTTCTCCGGGATCTGTTTCCTCCAACACGAAGCCAAACACTCATTGGTGGAATTAGCCAAATATCTCAATGTAGCAGAACCTTCTTAAAAATAGACTTTAGGCTCAGAGCGGAGGTCTTCTAGGCAATTATTTGGCAGTCTTGTGATTATTAGGATGCTACCGTGGTAGAGTTGTTCGCACATCGGGCCTGTAAATCAGAGGTCACCATTTAGATTTCCCGGCGTGGCAGCTTAAGTAATAGACCCGTTTTATAAATCGGATCCTCACCCACGATTTTGTTTACCCAGCGATACAAATGGGTGAACCACAGTTAAGATGCTCAGCAGATTACGTGTGGTGGGGTACATTGTGCGTATTGCAACCTCTTCCAGCGTGAAAGCGTAGAAGAAAGAGTAGGGCAAATAGCCTATAGTGGGGCTTTATTAAACTCCCTCTCGTGGGGGCCCTTTCGCCAGCACTGGCGTTTGCGAGACATTGCAGGGATGCACCTTCACCTTATTCCGAAGACGGTATCGATGTAAGGAGAGCATTGCGGGGCTCTCAGCGCCCACATTAGTGAGGACGCCATTTCATCGTCAGTAACAGGAGCAAAGCAATTGGCAGGGCTGTTCCTTTGCCGTGTTATTATCACCGCCGATGGGAGATTCTTGCGTAAAATGCAGGGACGGTCGGACACTAGAGGAGCCGCGGGTGGAGGGGAGGGTTGGGGAGTGTGGTTGGAGGAGGTTACAATTTCCAGCGCTTCCAGGAACCCGATTTGTAAACAGGATCCCGGGCTTGGAGGAGGAGTGGGGGCTTGTGGGGAGGGGGCGGGGGGGGGGGGAGACCCTCTCCGATTCCCTTTAAATAGCCGCGGCGGTCTCTGCGCGCGACGTTCGCCGCCGCTCGAGTTCAGGCAGCCGAACCCCGTCGCACAATGGGGAAGCCCACGAAGCGTCGCGCCTGAGCCGCATGCCACAGCCAAAGTCTCCCTCTCGCGCATTGTTGTGCCCAAACAATGATGACAGTCATTGCTGTGAGACGAACTCCATGAACTTCACATTGGGCATTCTTCTGCGCGCCGCAGACACAATTACAACGGCAGTCAAAAAAAAAAACACCACCCCGGCATCAGATTCGGCAACGCTGAGCGCCAGAGTAAGTGGGGAGCTGAAAGTGTCTGAAATACGCACGTTAATAATACAATGGCGTGCGCCTATTATAATAATAATAAAGCAATAATAACAACGAGTGGGCGAGGCTGGGAGCGAGAATGCGACGTCGATTAGTTGGGGTAAGCATTGACAGGCGCCTTCCTATTGCCCCCGAAGTGGCGGTGAGAAGCGCTAATGACTCAATCGAAAGGCGCGCACGTGTGCGGACTGCACGCACAACGTGTGTGCGTTGGCGCGCAGTGAGGAGCGGTGGCGCAGTGGTTAGCGCACTGCGTTTTAGGAACTCGGCGAAACCGTGTTCGTTTCCCGCTCACGGTCAACATCAGTGAGGAATATCTGAACCGGTCCTGGGATTCCCCTCGGTCGTCTCAGCCTTAAATAGTACTTGTGTGCAGTGTGTAAAACATCGCCACTAGGGAGACAAAGGTGGCCGGGCGTGATGCTGGCCACCCACCCCCACGTGTGCCGTGCCGGTCTTCATAGGTGCTCGCTAACAGCACTTGCCCCAACAGTCTGTTAAGGCTACATCTTTGTCTTTTGTGTGAAAGAGAATAGGTGTGTTAATGCGGCTGTTCATGTGGGTGTGAGAGAACGCGTGCGCGCGGGTGTGTTTGTACGTCGTCGTGTGCGTGTGTGTGAGAGAGAACAAACACACCCACGTACAAGTGTGTGTGTGCTAGAGCGAACACGTGTGTGATTGTACATGTGTGTGTGTGAGAGCGAACAAACACACCCACGTACAAGTGTGTGTGTGTGCCAGATCGAACACGTGTGTGATTGCACATGTGTGTGTGTGTGTGTGTGCGAGAGAGAGAGAAATAGAGAACACGTGTGCGCACGCGCCAGTCCTTGCAGCCCCCTTGAAGGGGTTAAAAATATCCGTGGTGTCGTGACGGACGGGCGGTGGGTGGCTGCCGCGCGGCCTCTCCGTAACGCGACTCCCTCGCTCTCCCTACCCAGGGCCCGTGCCAGAGACCATTTCTCCAGCCCTTGCCAGTGTAGGAAGAGGATGGCCACCGTTCGTGTTTGGCTGTAGTGGCATTCCGTTTTAAATATGGGGGCGGCGGGGGGGGGGGCGTACGTTTTGATGTTGCCAACCCATTCGATTTTCCCAGACACGTCTTATTTGAATATTGGGCGATCACTGTTGTATTGAAAAATATCGCCTGTTGACATTCCTTGGCTGACTCCTGATCAGCCCGTGATTACCGCTTGCATCTCTCCGTCGTTTGTTGTCGATTTTTTTTCATTGTTACTGGCTGCGTTGATGTGGAGTTTATTTCGTGAAATTTTTAGTGCGTACAGCAATAGTTACTCGATTATAACCGATTCACAGGCGCACTGCTATTATTCACGATGCACGCACGCGCATGCCAGGCGATGCCAATGTCGATGACTACATTCGAGGAGCGAACGTCACTGCGCAAAGGCGACAGAAAGCAACGAGAAACAAATCAAAGGAGACGGCGTAGCCACGCCACTGGCAGCAGCGGCTTCGCTTTCGAGTGCGCAGGCGGTGCAACTGCGCCGGGGCCCACAAGCCAAGGGTGCGGGCAGGGAGCAGACATTGGGCTAGGGAGGGAGTGGTTGGGGGAGTGGGGGGTTATTGGACAGGCGGGGGGGGGGGGGGGCTTTTCATTCCCTACGCCAGGGCCCACGCCAAGCACGCTACACCGCAGGGTTGGATGTCAAGGGGGGACCCGTTATTCTGAACCGAATGAATGAGCCGCGCTGCGTCCGATGATGCTGCTGCTGCTGCTGCGGGGTGCAGAGGTGAGCGAGGGGATCTGTGCCAGCGATCTGCATCCCGTCACGGTGGGTTTAGGTCCAGAGTAAATGTTTGCTTTAGATTTCAAGCCAGGCGAGAGCCCCCTTCCCACTAACCACCGCTACCTCCACCCCTTCCCCACGCGCTTTGTTGTTTTAATCCGCGCTCGCAGTCACTTTGCACTGCCTTGATGGGCTTTGGGGCTGGGGGGAGGGGGGGAGGGTTTGCTGAGAAAAGACGAGGGAGATGGGGCGGGTCAGGTTGTGGTGTTGGGAGACGCAGCAGGGGAGGGGCTTGTCGGGGTGACTAAGCCGCGGGGTTAGCAGATTTGTCAGTCGATGTTGTGTCCCCCCCCCCTCCACCACCCCCCAAAATAAGTTATCGCGCAGCCACCACATAATTGCCACCGCATCACGTCAGTGTCACGCCCAAGAGATCGCTACATTCTCAGTTCGCCTCCCAGTGGGTGCGGCGTAAAGTTCCCAGCCGACCCCGCTCGAAGTGAAATGTACAGCAGCCGTTGGCGGCCCGGTGTGATGGATGCCCCCCCCCCACCCCCCCGCGCACGAACAACGCAACCGCACCGCTCACAACCCCCCCCCCCCACCACGCGCGAGTTTGCACTGCCGAGAGCCACATCTGCTGCTCCGAAAGTCCCCATCCAATTTGGCGTCCCCTGATGTCCCCCCGCGGCGACCCCCCACCCACCCCACCACCACGTCTCCTGCACGCCTGTCCCTCCTCCTTCTTTGGGGGACACCTCGGATGCGTGTTTGGAGGAAGTGAGAAGAAGGGAGTCGGGGGGGGGGGGGGGGTTTCGTCACGTGGCCGTTCCCACACCACCTCCCCCCCCCCCCACTTC